ATTTATGCCTTTTTTTTATTTTTGGTGCATTATAAAAAATTTATTTTTCACTTTATGCCTTTATTTTTTGTTTTACCTGTTTTGTTTATTTTCCTCAATTAGTGTATTTTTTTTCCTTCTTATATTTTTTCCAAAAAGAATAATCTTGGATCTTCCCTGAAGGTTCAAGACCGTATGTCTCGTAGGACAGGTTACTTCAGTGTAGTTCCCGCGAGCAGCATCCAATCATCACTTTGAAGGATCTATTAATCATTATCTCTCGGAGAAATCGCAACTTTCGACCATGAAGACACAGATTTTCTTTTTACACGATATTTTACAAGGTTTAGGATTCTTAATGTTATTTACAAGCTAAGAATTGTTACCTACATCAGCTCATTTAAAAACCTTTAGAGATGGTGAAGGACACGTGACTTTCATGTTGTGGCACAGGGTTTCTTGAGGTCAAAGAAATTGTGCTGGACGTCAATAGCCCAATGAGCAGTGCCTAAACTGCACTGAAGCAGTGCAACCTTTCGTCTCTATATGCCAGACATGGAGAACATTCAACATCCTCTGTAAAATTTGAAGATACAGCCCCTCAGAGAGTTCAGGAAATGGCTCACAGATTCCCTGAAATCATGGCTTTCCGTGAGGATAAGCAGAACCATAGGCAGTCGTCAACTGTAGAAAACACCTGTCCAAATGCTATCAAATATATCCAATAAAAGTATTAGGGAGAGAAGAGGTTGATACCGCAGTATATCGTAATGAATCCTGTCCTTCCTTAGAGCCATGGAGGGCTACATAGACAAGGAAAACGATATTTCTCCCGTCACGACATAGATCACAAGATTCACTAATGTCTTTCAAACCAGGCAGACTTCCTCCTGAAGCTTCCTGACCTGGAACTCAGGACGTAAGCTAGAGACAGAACGGAATCCAAAAGTCAAAGAAGACCACACAGAGATTACAGGCTAAGGAGCCAAAAACTGCAAACCTCTCTCATGGAGAAGGATCTTGGAGGGAGTATTATACCGATCACATCTCCTGAGGCGCACATGAACCAAGTAAGTGCTGCAGTATATGGGCGCGTTTCGACACCATAGTAAGAAATATTTCAAGACTCTGTAAACCGTGTACATCAGGCCCAACTGGAGTATGCACCACCAGTATGAAACCCACACCTGCTCAAGCACGTCATGAAATTAGAGAAAGTGCAAAGGCTTGCAACAAGACTAGTTCCAGAGCTAAGGAGTGTGCCCTACGAAAAGTTAAGAGAAATCGGTCTGACAACACTGGAAGGCAGGAGAGATAGACGGGACATGATAACGACTGAGAGGAAGTAACAAGGTGGATAAGGATAGAATATTTCAGAGATGGGACACAGTAATAAGAGGCCACAACTGGAAGTTGAAGATTCAGATGAGTCACGAGGATGTTACGCAGTTGTTCTTCAGTCATAGAGTTCTCAGGAAATGGAATAATTTGGAGAGTGATGCAGTGGAGGCAGGAACCATACATAGCTTTAAGAAGAGATACGATAAAGCTCGTGGAGCAGGGAGAGAGTAGACCTAGTAGCGACAAGTGAACAGGCGGGGCCAGGAGCTGTGACTCGACCCCCACAACAACAAATAATAAATAAGAGCAAATCGGTACAATAAGACACGCACACACACACACACACACACACACACACACACACACACACACACACACACACACACACACACACACACACACACACACACACACACACACACACACACACACACACACACACACACACACACACACACACACACACACACAGGATGTTCCAGAGAGGGGACACAGAAACAAGGGGTCACAATTGGAAGCTGAAGACTCAGACAAGTCACAGGGATGTTAGGAAGTATTTTTTCAGTCATAGAGTCGTCAGGAAGTGGAATAGCCTAGCAAGTGACGTAGTGGATGCAGGAACCATACATAGCTTTAAGACGAGGTATGACAAAGCTCAGGAAGCAGAGAGAGTCCCTACTAGCGATCAGTGAAGAGGCGGGACCAGAAGCTGAGTCTCGACCACTGCAACCACAATTAGGTGAGTACACACAAAGACACACAAAGACACACACACACACACACACACACACACACACACACACACACACACACACACACACACACACACACACACACACACACACACACACACACACACACACACACACACATACAAAACACACACACACACACACACACACACACACAACACACACACACACACACAACACACACACACACACACACACACACACACACACACACATACACGCAGTCACGCAGACGTGGGTGCACAAGGCTCTGAGAACCTTAGTGTTTTTTAAGGCGTGCAGTAACTGCTAGCAGTAATCAGTGGTAGTGACAACGTCAGTGAACAATCCTACGAATGATAACCAAAGTTATTAGTTAAAAAAAGCCGAGAGGAAGCCTAAAATCGTTAATATTTCAAAGTGCCAAACTGTTAGGGGCCTAGTAGGCACCTGTTGCCACACAGATTCAAATATACAAAGATCAAAGTGAGTGTGGAAGGGGATGTTCAAGAATTACGAGAGATTGGTTATCAAGTGAAATGTGGGGCACCATACAGTGAGGGTGAAAAAAGTTAATAAGCAAAGGAGAAAGGAAAAATAAAATATATAACAAGGGAAGGTGGCAGGAGTAGGCCTGCTGAAGCAGTGACGTCACAACAGCTGTATGCCATTATACATATAAAGTGTAACCACCGAATGTGAAGTGTATTCTATCATAAGTGAAAAATGAAATCACTTGAGGAACGTGGGATGTATGAGCATATATAGTTATAAAGATCACGGGTGAAGGATTTTCAAAATAGTGATAGAAGGCCTATGTACGACGACTACGTCATCAGCATCTGGCAACTTGTCATCGTGCCGCTGCCAGCGCAAGTATTGCTCACCTACTGAGGTTGCATGTTGTCAGATTCTGGTCTCTGCACCACTGTTAGATACTGGTCACTCACTCCTGAAAGCTATTACCAGAATTAGAGTAGAAATAGCGTAGATAATGTGAAGACAAGGGTGACGAGAGTGTGAGGAGTAAAACGGTCTAGCGAGGGATAACGTCAGTCACTTGTTAAGTTGAGACAAGCTAAATTTTACAAGCTAGTTACTTTCTGCATTTTATAAGTAGAATTGATAAGTGTTAGAATTACTATTGGTAAGTTTTAGAATTACTGGTATTACTACTGGTATTTATTAGCAGTATGAATACTTAGAAATGGGGGCACACACACACATGCCACACACACACACACACACACACACACACACACACACACACACACACAACACACACACACACACACACACACACACACACACACACACACACACACACACACACACACACACACACACACACACACACACACACACAGGAATAAGTAGTCAGGCACTTGTAAAAGTTGTAGTACACACGCACACACACACACACACACACACACACACATACACAGATCCAGGAGCTGAGTCTCGACCCCTGTAACCACAATTAGGTGAGTACAGGATTTCACATCTTCCTGTAAACTGACCTGATAACCTCCCTCTTACATTCCACTATCCACTATCCCCCCCCCTCTCTCTCTCTCTCTCTCTCTCTCTCTCTCAATACCTATTTTTCTCTCTCACTACCTATCTCTCTACCTATCTCTCTACCTATCTCTCTCTACCTACCTCTCTCTTTACCTATCTCATTTCTCTCTCTTTCTCCCCCCTCCCATCTCTCCCCTCTAACATCCCTCCCCTCTAACATCTCTCCCTCTCCCATCTCTCCCCTCTAACATCTCTCCCCTTATAACATCTCTACCCCTCTAACATCTCTCCCCCTCTCATTATCTCTCCCCTCTCCCATTTCCCATCTCTCTCTCCCCTCCTCCCTCTCTCTCCCCCTCTCCCTCTCTCTCCCCTCTCTCTCTTCCGTGCGAAGGCCAGGTGCTCCCCTTCCCCACTTCCCCCACACCCCAACCTTGCACTCCCCCCCACGGGTCCGTGGTTCCAGGAGTTCACCTGTGCGAAGGCCAGGTGCTCCCCCTTCCCCACTTCCCCCCCACCCCCACCCTGCACCCCCCCCCCCCCGCCCGTGGTTCCAGGAGTTCACCTGTGCGAAGGCCAGGTGCTCCCCCTTCCCCACTTCCCCACCCCCACAACCTTGCACTCCCCCCGGGTCCGTGGTTCCAGGAGTTCACCTGTGCGAAGGCCATGTGCTCCCCCTTCCCCACTACCCCCACACCCCAACCTTGCACACCCCCCCCCGGGTCCGTGGTTCCAGGAGTTCACCTGTGCGAAGGCCAGGTGCTTCCCCTTCCCCACTTCCCCCACACCCCAACCTTGCACCCCCCCCGGGTCCGTGGTTCCAGGAGTTCACCTGTGCGAAGGCCAGGTGCTCCCCCTTCCCCACTTCCCCCACACCCCAACCTTGCACTCCCCCCCACGGGTCCGTGGTTCCAGGAGTCCACCTGTGTGACGCCAGGTGCTCCCCCTTCCCCACTACCCCCACACCCCAACCTTGCACCCCCCCGGGTCCGTGGTTCCAGGAGTTCACCTGTGCGAAGGCCAGGTGCTCCCCCTTCCCCACTTTTCCCCCCCACCTCAACCTTGCACCCCCCCGGGTCCGTGGTTCCAGGAGTTCACCTGTGCGAAGGCTAGGTGCTCCCCCTTCCCCACTACCCCCACACCCCAACCTTGCACCCCCCGGGTCCGTGGTTCCAGGAGTTCACCTGTGCGAAGGCCAGGTGCTCCCCCTTCCCCACTTCCCCCACACCCCAACCCTGCACACCCCCCCCTGGGTATGTGGTTCCAGGAGTTCACCTGTGCGAAGGCCAGGTGCTCCCCCTTCCCCACTTCCCCCACACCCCAACCTTGCACACACCCCCCCGGGTCCGTGGTTCCAGGAGTTCACCTGTGCGAAGGCCAGGTGCTCCCCCTTCCCCACTTCCCCCACACCCCAACCTTGCACACACCCCCCCGGGTCCGTGGTTCCAGGAGTTCACCTGTGCGAAGGCCAGGTGCTCCCCCTTCCCCACTTCCCCCACACCCCAACCTTGCACATCCCCCCCCGGGTCCGTGGTTCCAGGAGTCCACCTGTGTGACGCCAGGTGCTCCCCCTTCCCCACTTCCCCCACACCCCAACCTTGCACACCCAAGGTCTGCCTCAACAACCAGTGAGTATCCTTTCCGTCTCTCCCAGGTCCGCGTGTCCAGGAGTCCATCTGTCCGCCTTCAGATATTCTCCCTTCCCCACTTCCCCAAGGTATCCTCGCCTTTCCCAGGTCCATGTGTCCAGGAATCCATCCGTGGGCCCCCGGATGTCTCCCCTTCCTCACTTCCCTTAGGATATCTTCCAGTCTCAGCCTTCCCCAATACCTATTTCTCTCTCTCACTACCTATCTCTCTACCTATCTCTCTACCTATCTCTCTCTACACCTATCTCATTTCTCTCTTTCTCCCCCTCCCATCTCTCCCCTCTAACATCTCTCCCCTCTCCCATCTCTCCCCTCTAACATCTCTCCCCTTATAACATCTCTACCCCTCTAACATTTCTCCCCCTCTCATTATCTCTCCCCTTTCCCATTTCCCATACTCTCTCTCCCCTCCTCCCCTCTCTCTCCCCCTCTCCTCTCTCTCCCCCCTCTCTCTTCCGTGCGAAGGCCAGGTGCTCCCCCCTTCCCCACTTTCCCCCACACCCAACCATGCACTCCCCCCCCACGGGTCCGTGGTTCCAGGAGTTCACCTGTGCGAAGGCCAGGTGCTCCCCTTCCCCACTTCCCCCACACCCCAACCTTGCACTCCCCCCCACGGGTGCGTGGTTCCAGGAGTTCACCTGTGCGAAGGCCAGGTGCTCCCCCTTCCCCACTTCCCCACACCCAACCTTGCAAATCCCCCCCCCGGGTCCGTGGTTCCAGGAGTTCACCTGTGCGAAGGCCAGGTGCTCCCCCTTCCCCACTTCCCCCACACCACAACCTAGCACTCCCCCCGGGTCCGTGGTTCCAGGAGTTCACCTGTGCGAAGGCCAGGTGCTCCCCCTTCCCCACTACCCCCACACCCCAACCTTGCACCACCCCCCCCGGGTCCGTGGTTCCAGGAGTTCACCTGTGCGAAGGCCAGGTGCTCCCCCTTCCCCACTTCCCCACACCCCAACCTTGCACACCCCCCCCCCGGGTCCGTGGTTCCAGGAGTTCACCTGTGCGAAGGCCAGGTGCTCCCCCTTCCCCACTTCCCCCACACCCCAACCTTGCACTCCCCCCCCCGGGTCCGTGGTTCCAGGAGTCCATCTGTGTGACGCCAGGTGCTCCCCCTTCCCCACTACCACCACACCCCAAAACCCTTTCACCCCCCCCCGGGTCCGTCGTTCCAGGAGTTCACTGTGCGAAGGCCAGGTGCTCCCCCTTCCCCACTTCCCCCACTTCCCCCACACCCCACCTTGCCACACCCCCCCGGGCCCGGGGTTTCCAGGGGTTCACCGTGCAAAGGGCCGGTCTCCCCTTCCCCACTTCCCCCCCCCCCAAACCCTTGCACACACCCCCCGGGTCGGGCCCCGGAGTTCACCTTTGTAAAGCTGGGGCTCCCCTTCCCCATTTTCCCCAAAAACCCCAACCTGCCCCCCAAGGTCTGCCTCAAAAACCCATGGTATCCTTTTCCCGTCTCCCCCCAGGCCCGCGTGTCCAGGGTCCATCTGTCCGCCTTCGTTATTCTCCCCCCCCCATTCCCCAATTTTCCTCCCCTTTCCAGTCCATGTTTTGGGAACCACCCGTGGGCCCCCCGGATGTCCCCCCTTTCCCTATTTCCCCTTTAGGATATGCCAGTCTCACCCTTTCCCCCATTTATGTATCCGAAGTCAGTAGCCACCCTCCGGATCAGCCAGATGGAAAACAGGCTTTGTTAGTTCTAGGGTAGGGGATGTCCGGTGGGGGAAATTTACAGGATGGGAACAAGAAACTGGTCCTGAAGTACACCCCCCAAGACAGTCTAGACCCTAGTCCCAGACGCAGCCCAAACTCCGTCCCCGTTCGACCCCCAAGGCCTGGGCCCCTATGAAAAATTTTGGGGGTTCTATTTATATTACAAATTAAAACTTAAATATAAGTTTCTTTTTGGGTTTAAGAGCTTAAGTGCTTTGGAATGTTTTGTTTTAAAAACTGTAAAAGTATTAAACTTTTGTGTTTTTATTTTATTTTTTCTTATGTATTTTTGGAAAAAAGATCTTACAAACGCCGCTACAATGTTAAAAAGTCATTTATTGACTTTTTGGGTTTTTCCCGGGGGAATTTAATATTCGGTCATTGAATGTAGATTGGTAATGTTTTTTCATGTACTTTTACTCGAAGTAAACTTACATAACTTACACATACACTTGTTTTTAACACGCAAATTTCGCATTTCCGTAAACGAAGCTGCTTGGTTCATCCATCATTCCATACACTCGTAAAACGCGCACATGAGCACAACACACACACACACACACACACACACACACAACAACACACACATTTTCAAAGAATGAGATCCACACACACACACACAACAATCCACACCACACACACACGGAAACACACACACACACTATACACACACACACACACATAACCCACGTACTCATATACATCAGGCCTAGTGTCTAATTCGACTGTGCCTAGTCAAAAAGGTAACTAACACACACACACACACACACACACACACATGTATAAAAACACACTCACTCCTCTTACGCTAATAGTAATGTAATCACAAATATCACAACACACACACACACCACACACACTCACACACACACACACACACACACACACACACGTATGTACACAAATTTGTACCCGTCCATATATGCACTCAACTCACGTTCTGTTTAAAATTATGTTTGTATTTTAAAAATAAAATCGAAAATACTTGAAGTAGAAAAACACTCAGTCCTTACTTAAATGTTCGGTAAATCAGTAAAATCGGTAAATCGGTAAAATCAATATTGTGATGAAGAATGTTGGTTTTCGGTATTTAAGACATCCATTATGAAAGGTGCGGGTGAAAAGTTACTAGTTTTTAGACACTTGTGGGTCAGGTATAGTTACTAGTTTTAGACACTTGTGGGTCAGGCAAATTACTAGTTGAGACAACTTGTGGGTCAGGTAAAGTTTACTAGTTTGAGACACTGGGGGTCAGGAAAAGTTACTAGTTTTAACACTTGTGGGTCAGGTAAGTTACTAGATTTAGCACTTGTGGAGTCAGGTAAAGTTACTAGTTTTAACACTTGTGGGTCAGGTAAAGTTACTAGTTTGAGACACTTGTGGGACAGGTAAAGTTGCTATTTGAGACACTTGTGGTCAGTAAAGTTGCTAGTTTGAGACACTTGGTGGGTCGGTAAAGTTACTAGTTTGAACACTTGTGGGGCAGGTAAAGTTGCTATTTGAGACACTTGTGGGTCAGGTTAAGTTACTAGTTTTAGACCCATGAGCATGAAAGAGTACTATTTTTGAGACACTTGTGGTCGAGGTAAAAGTTTCTAGTTTTAGACGACTTGTTGGGTCAGGTAAAGTTACTATTTTAGACAACTTGTGGGGTCAGGTAAAGGTTACAAGTTATTTAAGACACTGTGGGTCAGGTAAAGTTCCTAGTTTGAGACACTTGTGGTCAGGTAAAGTTACTAGTTTGAGACACTTGTTGGTCAGGACAGTTACTAGTTTTTAGACACTTTGGGTCAGGTAAAGTTACAGATTTTAGACACTTGTGGGTCAGGTAAAGTTACTATTTAAGACACTTGTGGGTCAGGTAAAAGTTACTAGTTTGAGGACACTTGTGGGTCAGTACAGTTTGCAAGTTTGAGACACTATGTGGTCAGGTAAAGTGACTAGTTTGAGACACTTGTGGGGTCAGGTAAAGTTACGAGTTTGAGACACTGTGGGTCAGGTAAAGTTACTAGTTTGAGACACTTGTGGTCATAAATTCCTGTTTGAGACACTTGGGGTCAGGTAAAGGTACTAGTTTTAGACACTTGAGGGTCAGGTAAAGTTACTATTTAGACACTTGTGGGTCAGGAAAAGTTACTAGTTTGAGACACTTGGGGTCAGGAAAGTTACCCAAGTTTTGAGACACTGTGGGGACAGGTAAGTGCTAGTTTGAGACACTTGTGGGTCAGGTAAAAGTTACTAGTTTGAAGAACACTGTGGGTCAGGAAAGTTGCTAGTTTGAGACCAGCTTGTATGGGCAGGTAAAGTTGCTAGTTTTAGACACTTGTGGGTCAGTAAAGTTGCTGTTTGAACACTGTGGTCAGGTAAAGTTACTAGTATATGACACTTTGGGTCAGTAAAGTTACTAGTTAGAGAACTTGTGGGTCTGTAAAGTTAACGAGTTGTTGCGACACGTGGTGGTCAGGTAAAGTTACTAGTTGAGACACTTGTGGGTCATGTAAAAGTTGCTAGTTTGAGACACTTGTGGGTCAGGTAAAGGTTGCTAGTTTAAGACACTTTGAGGGTCAGGTAAAGTTGCTAGTTTAGAGACACTTGTGGTCAGGTAAAAAGTTGCTTAGTTTGAGACACTTGTGGGTCAGGTAAGTGCAAGTTTGAGACACATGTGGGTCAGTAAAGTGCTAGTTTGAGAAACATGATGGTCAGGTAAAGTTCTAGTTTGAACACTAAGTGGTCAGGTTAAAGTTATCTAGTTTGAGACACTTGTGGGTCAGTAACAGTTACTAGTTTTGAGACACTATGTGGGATCAGGTAAAGTTGCATAGTTTGGACACGTAGTGGGTCAGGAAAGTTGCAGTTTGGAGACAACTTGTGGTCAGGTAAAGTTGCTTGTTTGAACACTTTGTGGGTCAGTAAACCCCCAAAACCCAAAAAGACAAAAACAAAAAACCCCAAAATAAAGGTTTGAAAAACTGTAAAATAAAGGGTTTTAAAAAAAGGGAAAAACCAGAATGGAAGGGGGAAGATAAAGTAAAAAAAAAAATTAAAATTTTACAAGGGGAAAACAATTTCCAAATTACACAAAAAAAAAAATTAACAAACACAAAAACCCACAAAAAGTATACCACCACAATAAAAAAAAAATTTTAAGCGGAGGGCAGGACCCAACGCTTAAAAAAGGAAAAACTCACCCAAAAAAAACCCCAAAACCCCCCAAAAGGGCCCCAAGTATCACCCCCGAACCCAAACAGGTAGTAAACGGGGGCAACCAAAAAAACCCCAAACACAAACCCCCCAAAAAAAACAAACCCAAAAAAAACCAACCCCAGCCCCCCAAAAGAAAAACCCCACGTTCCACCATCCCCCCCCACCCCCCAAAAAAGGTTGGAAAAAAAACTGAAGGCAGGGAGGTTTAAAAAA